CATCCCTTTATAGAGAAAACTAGGTGGCCTCTGCTTCTGCTACCTGCCTACCTAAGATAGACTCCAAGCAAATGTGCCACTAACCTGCTTAGATCTAAACCTACTTAATCTGGCCTGAAGGATTCAGATAAAGATTGATTTGTGTTTCCAAAGAACTTTGGGCACCTTTAACTTATGCGCGGGCCTTTGCTGGGAGTGGCGGGGACTCAGCACTTCCTAGGATCAAGCCTGTTATTCCAGGTCTGGAGCAAGGCCGAGACCAGCTCGGACCCTAGAGGAATCTCAGTTGACCTTCTCTTCTCCCTGCCTTCTCCAGGTGGGCATTCACCTTGATCATCATCTCCTCCTACACAGCCAACCTGGCAGCCTTCCTCACTGTGCAACGTATGGATGTGCCAATAGAATCGGTGGATGACCTCGCTGACCAGACAGCTATCGAGTATGGCACCATTCACGGAGGCTCCAGCATGACCTTCTTCCAAGTAAACCCCCTTTTTTTTTTTGTTAACCGGGAGTGCGGGAGGGTGTGTGGGGGAAAAGTCAGGAGACACATTCTCTTAAAATCAGATGTTTACCCAGGATATGAACCTGGGCTCTTTCCAGCACACTCCATTCTAGCCCTGCGTAGGTGGCATCTGTAGCAGCTGGATCCATTTCATCATCCCTGGTTGCCACGAGATGAGATGATGCATGTGGTTGCATTTGTGTACGTGCAGTCCATACATGTGCGATGTAAAGGCCTTTCCCCCCCGCCCCAGTAAACTGAGAACTTGGAAAGAAACAGCAGTAGGCTGCACCCAGGGTGCAGAAAGACAAGTTTGCTCTTGGAAAGGCTGTTTACAAGGCGAGCGATTGTTTTCCTCAGTTGCATTTTGAGTGGGCTGAATCCTCTGCTTTTTAATTGAACTTGTGCACCCGGGTCCACCTCCCACTGTGAGTGCGGGGAGTTTTGATTGCAAGGAGCAGCACCAAAGTGGGTTTAGGATTAAGCCAGAGCTCAGAGAAGTGATAGGAAGTGAGGAGGAGTGAGGGGATTTGGAAGGAATCCAGTCACACACAACCTGGACACCCTCAAGGGGTAGGGTTGTGGGACAGCATTGCAGGACACACAGGCAAAACCCTAGGTTCCCAGCCCCAGGAGCTGAGCTCCTGCGCAGAACGCCAGGGAGTGGGTAGCAACGGCATTTATAGCCATATGCCAGAGCCCCTTGATAATACCATTCCTGACAGCCGGGTATTTGCAGCCAAATTTTGATACGTCTCTGCATTGTTAACATGGCCCTAACTTCTGCATATGCAAGGCTCAGTGTGTGCATGTGTGTAAGAATAAATGTGTCAGCAAACCCTGATCTTTCCCATGGATACATATACCTACTTGATGCAAATCAAGCTTTGTTCACGGTCAGGCCCATCATATCTGCATGAGTGATTGTACTTTCCTGCTCTCAGCAGCAATGAGGAGGTTAATCTTTTGACCAGTGCTTTGAATGCACAAAACACAGTCTGGGGATTATTTATTTATTAAATGCTGAAGCACCAAGAGGAGCAAGGTTTTCTTGCTTTCTGTTCAGTCTGAATTGAAATAGGAAGCCCAGAAATCTCTTGAGTGAATCTGATCTTTCCAGCCCAACTTTTCAGACCCTAGAGATTTGGAAAAGGGCTGCTTAAGCAGATTGCTGTATCTCAGAAAAGCCAAATGTAGCACAAGCAAATAAAGAAGACTGTACCTCAGGCACTGAATCAGCCCTGTTCTTTTCAGGGAAACTGGCAGTGTAAAAATCAAGGGCTCAGTTCTCCATTGCCAAGCACCTTTCCTAGTCATCTGAACCAGAATAAGTTGAACGACAAGCGGGGGTGACGCAGGCCTGAATCAGAATGCAGCATTTTACCTGCACTTTGCACTTGTCTTATGTTGGCAAAAGCCACTGTGTGAGATCCGGGGAGACAGAGGCCCCAGATGTTAAAGAACAAAAATAAAACATGGAAACACTAAACTGGAGTACATTTTAACTGGAATTAATATTACCATTTCTGCTCTTTGTTGACTTTTTGCTCTCCATTTAGGTCAAGCAGTGTAAGTGTAGCCGTGTCGGTTCCCCTTTTTATGCAGCCAAGATGGGCTGGCACCCAAGCTCTAAAATCAAACACTTGCAAACTGTAAGGGAGGTCTGGCTCAGATGTCCTTATGAGTGTCATCATGGTCCTACTGAAGTCAGTAGAAAGACTCCTGGTAACTTCAGTAGGCTTTGGATCAGACCCATGACTGGATGAATCAGAAGGCCACGTCCAGAAAGCCTCAAAGACTGGTTCAAGATGCAGACTTTGCAGCTCAGCCCCATCAGTCGTTCCTGGACCCTTCAACATTGTCATTCTCATTTCCCACCTTGTTTCTGGCGAGACTGGGCTGAGACTGTTGTACAGGAAGGTGCGCTGGTCTCCGAGCAAACCAACCAAGCAAGAGCAATTCCAGCTGGAATCAGTTGTCTTAAAATGTTGCCATAGAAACATTTTTCTTCTAAGGTTTTGCAATTTTAAAAAAATGTTTTGAGGCCTTAAAACATCATGGGAACCTATGGCAGTGGTGCATATCTGGGCACCCAAACCCCTTAGACTCCTTGCAAAATCCCAGCCTTACATTGGTACATGTTTTCACTTGGGGCGGAGCCCCCCAGGCAGTGCTGCTCCAATGGCTCCTCTTCTCCCCTTTCTTTTGCAGAACTCCCGTTACCAGACATACCAGCGGATGTGGAATTACATGTACTCAAAGCAGCCAAGCGTGTTTGTAAAGAGCACAGAGGAAGGGATCGCCAGGGTGCTGAATTCCAACTATGCCTTCCTGCTGGAGTCCACCATGAACGAGTATTACCGTCAGCGCAATTGCAACCTCACGCAGGTCGGGGGCCTTCTGGACACCAAGGGCTACGGGATTGGCATGCCAGTCGGTAGGCAGTGAAGAAAAATTATAGTCATTCTCAGCTGTCTGCAGAGGATTGGAGCATTTGAAAGGCAGAAACAGCTCTAGAACTGATGCCACGTTTCGCTGATCTGCCTGGTGTCCCTTTCATTTCAGAGATGCCATCAGGAGGAAAATCAAACGCATTTTAATTATTCATCTGCCTGCCCCCACATCATTTAAAATGATGTTTCCTATATATATATATAAAAAAAAAATGCGTGCGTCTTATTTTTCTGCATTTGTGCTCTTTGTGTACTATGTTTCCTCTCAATCAGCACTGGGAGTGAAACCAGGCAAGCTAGTTTCACTTTCTGCCTTGTCTCCCACCATAGTGCTTTGAAAGAGGCTGCCAACTCCATTGATTTTTATCACAAGCCTTTTGATGTTGGGTGTTTTTTGTAAGCCCCTGCTCCTGGAATCTTGGCTTTAATTGTCTTTTATAAGAAATAAAATGTCGTTAGTCATTGTGGTTGCAAAAAAAAAAGAAAAAAGAAAGAAAACTAGAAAACATTGTCCCTAAAAGGTTCCAGCTCCAGAAGGCAACTACATGGTTTCCTATTTGCTATGCTGAAAGATCTCATGATTGTTAAGCCAGTCGTGTGATCTGGGTGCCGTGGAGGGGCTACTTTTTTAATGTTTGCGGTTAACGATATTGAAGTAACAGTACTAATAGCTTTGGTGTGCGATTCTCATGCAGTAATGCAGCACTGGGCTCATTTGAATGGTTCATACTGCAGAGGAAGGTTTAACTCCCAGAGCAAATCCCAAGCTAACTGTATTTTGCTATTCCTATTATGTACTAGCCCTACATTTCAGGCCAGAGTTTGCCTTGAGAAACAGTGAAATTGTAGGGGATAAAAGGAGTTAGAGTCTGGCTCTCATTACACTGGTGCAGTCCCATTGAGTCACTCTATATTTACCATGCTGTAGCTCATCATCTATCCTAGGTTTTCTCTCCAGTGCAAAATACAGGGACAGCAAGAGAGCATGGAAACTGAGCCTGGCCTCCAGCGAGTGTTCGGGTTTGCCCAATGATTGGGTTCATTGGTGTTATTGACAGGGAGGGTTTTCTTGCCATCCTTTGCTCCACACAGGAGCAAGGGCCGGAGTAAGATTAGACACGCACAGGCAGCATGACGAGGGATTGGCCTGTGTGGCTCAAGGGAATGGGAATGAGATAGGGAGCTGCCCACTTGAATGCTAGCCAAGATGGCAGCAACTCAAAGTTTTCTCCCTTCTGATGCTGTTGGGTGGCCTGGGTCTGATTTCCATCGAGTCTTTGCTGGAGAAGCAAAATCACCACTTGCAATTAGAAGTCATTTGTCGGCAGGCTCCACTTGGATTTGAAGGCGCCTTGAAGAATGAACTCCCTTGTAGTCTCGTAGAGTCGGGGGGGGGTGGGGGTGGCCCTCTCCTGCTTGGGCAGGTTGCCAGGGCCGTGTGTGGTGGGTGGGAGGGATGGAAAGCCATCCCGGCTGTCCCTTCATCTCCCTCTTGGCTTTTACAGGCTCCGTCTTCCGCGATGAGTTCGACCTGGCCATTCTCCAGCTGCAAGAAAACAACCGGCTGGAAATCCTGAAGCGCAAGTGGTGGGAAGGAGGCAGGTGTCCCAAAGAGGAAGACCACAGAGCCAAAGGTAAAGCCCGACTCAGAGAGATAAGACCACCCTCCTTCATACCAGCTCTCAGAGACGAGGCCATCGCGCCTTCACATAGCAGAGCCCGATAACAAGGATGTAAAGCAGCAACATCATTATTGATTCGAGCAGGGTCGACTCCCAACCCAGATAGGAGTGATACCCAGCCTCCTGCCTGAGGAGCAGCGGGATTGTTGGTTTTTTTCCTTTTCTTCTGACTTAAGATTTCTTCCTTTCACAATGCAAGGAGAAAGCCAAACAGCTCTGCTGTGCCTCATGCTGTGTGTTTTTGCCTGGGGCAAAGAGAGTAGCAACAACCAAATGACAAATATTGGAGGCATATGGAGGGTAAATTATCTTCTAATGAATGTCCGCAACGTTACATGGGAAACCAGACAGCTGAAGGGAATTGCATCCAAAGCCTGAGCCCCTTTAAGAGGAGATGGAGCTTTGTTGCAGGGCCATTGGTTAATGGGCCTAATTTAAAGCTCCTTCAGAACAGGGAAGGGGGAACAGGGACTTTATTAATAAAGCTCTAAAACTGAAGAGCAAATTCTTCTGGGTAATGCTATGCAAATTGCCATAAAAGCCACAGCATTAGGCTGCTGTCCCAGCGCTAGGAACACTTGCCAGGTTAAAGCAATTGCTGCATTTTTTTGGCAGTCACCCTAACCTTAGTGAGCATTTTTCTGAGAGGCTAAAAGGTTCCCTGGCTGAGAGAACAGCCTTTTGACCCTCCTGAGCCCCGGGGCCAAGAGCCAAGCAGACTTGTGATTGCTGTTTCATTTTCCTGGTAGATCAGTTGCAGGAGGGTTTGTTTTTTTTTTCCTTGTTTTTTTTTTTCTTTTCCATTTTTTTGCTGTATGGCACAAGCTGGATGGACCACACATGGGCTTCAGCTGGCCAAGAAGCTCCCTCCATATGCTGCTTCATTAGCAGAGAAAGCTGCTCTGTGCATGAGCCCATAGGAAAGGCTGCGAGTTGCTGGGAATTACAAGTGGGCCCTCAGATCTGGAGTGGCATTTCAGGTTCCCTGAACCCAGGTTTCAGGGTCAACCAATTGTCCTTTCAAGAGAGAGAATGATCCAAGAATAAAGGCAGTGTCTGTAAGTGGGGGAGACCTTGGACATGGTTTCCAGGCAGGTCTGCAGGGTGCAAAGCAGCCTGGTACGTCCCCTGGGCTAGCTCTGCCTGTCCCATGTGTGCAGTGAGCTCCCGGAGCTCCCCAGCATGTCAGCGCAGATCCTAGCAGAGCTTGTGAGCCACGACCTCTCTGAGCCCATCAGTTTATCAGAGCAGGCTGTAGCTGGAGCACCACCACCGTCCCCCACCACTGAATATACCAGGAAGAGAAAAGAGGCAATGAGGTGGCTGCCTTCACACCCCCAGGCTCCGGAGCTGGGTGGAAACAGGGGTGGGGAGCTGGTGAGTTCACGGTACATGTGCTGCACAGCCAGGGCAGGGAGCTCCCTCTGCTCCCCCGGATCTGCCGTGGTCAGGGTACCTTCTGCATGATGCTGCCTTGAGCCGTATAGATGTACCCTTCTTGTCTTTGTTCCCGCTCCACCAAGTGGGGCCTTTATCTCACCAGAAGATCACAAAGAGAAGCACGTCAGAGAACAGGAGTTGCTTGGATACTAGTGTCACGGGGGCCAGGATTGAACTGTAGGTAGGCAAATTAGACAAATGCTGTTTGCAAAATGCACCCTGTCGTTTGGATCCAAAAACCCACAATTGTGGGTAGGGCTGCTTGGAGCATTAATGCTTATAGCTCCAGTGTCTTTTCCGGCCTACCTCAACACCAGTAGTTTCCAAACTAGAGGTTGTGACCCCATTTGGGGTCAGAAGCCATACCAAAATCCAGTGATAGCACTTGGGCTCAGACCAAAAGGGTTGTGACCCGGGATTTTTGGGAAAAAGACTGGGAACCGCATGTTATCACACCCTCTTCCCTCTCTCTCCTCTCGAGTTTTAGGCAAAAGAAGCATGGGGGAACAGGGATATATCTAGACACTTTACTCTTGGCTTTGGCAGTTCTGTCCCATTGCAGATAGCCCCCCAGTTGCAGCAAAGGAGGCCTCTGCAAGGTGCTCAGCTTTTCCCCAGTTACTTTAAAGATCGCATAATAAGTCATATTTTTAGCCACTTGCTTCCAGGCCTCTCTCGCTGAGAGTATTGGATTACAGGAGAGTCTCTGAGTGCCTTGTTGGACAGAAACAGCCACCCAGTGACTTGTGAGAGCACTAATTGCTTTATCTTGACATCCCAAATGCACGAGCGAGCTTCAAAGGGATGAAAATAAACTGATAAATTATTAAATGCGGTTACTACATTCCAGGGAGGGAAGGAACACAGGAGTATTTTGCTTAGCAAACTCAGCAGAGAACAAACTTGGAACAGACCCCAAAGGCTGAGCCCAGCACAAGGCTCCCAACATTTTCGGGAGCATTCCTGGCTTCTACCACTGGTGCGCTAACCATTGTTGCGTCCCTGCTCAGCGCCTCAGTTTATCCCAGCTGTGAAATGGGGGTGGTCACAACCAGCCCCCAGGAGCAATGTGAAGTGAATGAAAGTGTTTTAGGCACCCTGAAGAAAGGTGCTCTGGGAACGAGGGAGTGTTGTTTTAAATAGGAGCCTAGAGATCCTGATCCATTCGTGGGAGAGCCCTAGAGGTGAGGATGGCAGGGCCAAGGAGAGTCCTGGGGCTTAAGTACAGGAAGGTGGGGAGCATCCCTGAACCGAGTGTGGGGATGAGAAAATGAGGGGCATCTCCGAGATACCGGGCTGGGATCAGGCAAGGGTGAGGCCGTGCTCTGGGTTGTGAATTTGGGAGATGGAGGTGTGAGTTGAATTGGGTGGTGGTTACAAGATACATTTTATGTCCTGTAATTGCTGCCTTAGTGGAAACATCTCACCCCGCAAAGGCCTGATTTACTGGGTGACTAGATCGCTCCAGAAATTCTGCCAAAAGAATGATGGAGAACAAGGGAGAAATGTGACCCCGTAAGTTTTAAAACAAAACAGGTCAGCAATTTACAAGGGTTTTGGTGAGATTTTATATCAAAAAGCCATGCAGAGATTAAGTCAATAAATCATCGATTCTCACACTTTGATTTAATGTTACAGCGGGGGGAGGCAGATTTTATAGGTGTTCTGGTTGACTAATAGCTGCACACAATCACCGCAGCGTAAGGTGCTGCATGCTTCACGGTGATCAATCAAGAGCCCAGTCCACCAGGGACCAAAACCAGCACTTGGGTGAGTGAGAAGTCGTTTCCAGACACTGCAGACTGCGCTACAGACACAGGTCCCTGACCCTGATGTCAGCCCTGAAATACTTGAACCAGCCAGCTTTGCTCTGCAGAGACACGAGAGGACAGGGCTAGCTGTTCCCATGTGATCTGCTGAAAGGAAGGAGTCAAGCTATTACTGAGGCCAAGAAGTTGGGAGGTTTCCCAGATGCATAAAGAATCAGGGCCAAAGTCTCAGCTGGTATAAACCGACATGCTTCCTCCAGACTTCAGTGAAGGGAGGCTGGGAATATGGCCCACTGACTTCAGCTGAGAATCCAGCCCATTGATTTCAATGCAGCGTGGCCAGTTTACCCCAGCTGAAGATCTGGCCCTTAAAGCCAAATTAATCCCTGGGAACATGACTCCTGAAATCAGCATTTCAAATTCCAATCTTGGTTATGTCAGAGCAAATCCAGAGTAGCTCTTTGCCCATAGAGCTACACCAGACTGCGCACGGTGGAGGATGAGGATGTCACTTGCTGTGTGTCCAGCTAGCACCCAGCAGAACAGGGCCCTTATCTTGATTGGAATATCTAAGTGCCACTGCAATATAAATAATTGTGATAGTTTTACATCAGCACTTTTAAATGTAATCAAAGTAACTTTTCCTGCTGCTGAACTCGCCTAATGCTCTTGTCTTCCTTATCTTTTCTCTTATTTCCATTTGCTGAGCTCAAAGCAACTGGAGCTAGGTGAATGGTATCTGAGCTTGCATCTTTTTCCTGTTCTCAGTCTGTATGTGGAGTGCTTTCCACGTCCCCGAGATGCTTTTTCTGGTTTGGAATTATTTGCTAAATCATCCTTTCTAGGAAAAACTGTTCACAGCCAGTGATTACAAGTCGCTCGGTATTTGCTGCTTGATCTGGGCTAGTTAATTTTGTTTGAATGGCGCAGGTTACATTGCATTTATTTTGGTCCCTGAATGGAATCACACAGTGATGATTAGCATCAAGTTCCCACGTGCTGATGAGCTCAGTACTCACTGTATCTTCCTCTCTGCTTGATTCCTTCCTTTTCTTTCAGGCTTGGGGATGGAGAACATTGGAGGAATCTTTGTAGTTCTCATATGTGGCCTCATCGTAGCAATTTTTATGGCAATGCTGGAGTTTTTATGGAGCCTCCGGCACGCTGAACAGTCAGAGGTAGGACTCAAAATGTCATTGCTGTTGCAGGGACATCTATGTTCATGCTTATGAGGTGCTCAGGTACTGCACCAATGGAAAGATTCTTAAAAAAACAAAAAAAAAACAAAACCTGGATGGATCTGGGGCAGATGGGGGATCCAAGTTAGGTTCAAGCACTCTAGGCAGAGGGATGGAGACCGCGTGAGGATTTCAGAGGCAACTGGTGAGGGCTAGCACCCATGAAAACTGTTAAGTCCTTTTAGCGGAGTCCAAAGCTTGTGAAGACCCTGTATGCAATTAGTAAGAAGGAGGTGGAAATCCCAGGGGAAGTTGGCATGGATCTAGAATGTATCTAAATTCCAGGCACAGTTGATCGAGTCTGGAACACGTCTAGAACAAGTAAAGATCCCAGTTGTGGACCTTGGGGATCCCGAACATGAGAGCACCTTTGATGTGGACCGTGGGAGGCAGAATGAGTGAGGATTTCAATTAGTAGCATCTAGAACAGGTGGCAGACCCTGGGATCCCCAAACTGTTGAAGATCCCAAGCACCGGCCTTGGTATCTCCAGAATGGTTCAGCATCAGGATCCAGAATGGGTGCAGTTGTTGGAATCAGCCCCTTAATGTAGGGAGCAGTACCTGTTGGAAACCAGCCTCTTGCCTGTGTCTGCCTTCCAGGTGTCTGTGTGCCAGGAGATGGTGACAGAGCTGCGCAATATCATCCTCTGCAAGGACAGTTTCCACCCTCGTCGGAAGCGAGGGGGGATGATACGGACTCGCCCTGTTATTCCCGAGGAGCGCCGAGCCCGCAGCACAACCACACTCAGCAATGGCAAGCTGTGCGGCGGGGGGGAACCTGACCCTCTGGCCCAAAGACTTGCACAAGAAGCTGCCCTGGTGGCTCGAGGCTGCACACACATCCGGGTGTGCCCAGAGTGCCGGAGGTTCCAGGGCCTCCGGGCACGGCCGGCTCCCGGCTCACCTGCACGAAGCGAAGAGAGCTTGGAGTGGGAGAAAACCACCAACAGCAGCGAACCCGAGTAGAGCGGGACAGGGGACGTGGGCAAGGAGGGCCGTGTTCCGTTTTACAGAACATGGACTTGTACAATGTGAAACTCGTTTTTAAATTAAAAGCAGTTACCCAGCTTCTCAAGACCAAGACAAAGGCTACGAACCAGGCCCAGCCAGAGACATTTTGGTACCTTTCCCTATTTAAGAGGACATTGCTCCTACTGGAATGCTAATCAGCAGGAGGAAGATCCTCTGGTTGGCCTATCTTGAGCAGCTACCCCTCACCTTGAAACTCTGGGGTGGGGAGGAGGGACGCTGAGGGCAATTCACATACCAGATCTGCTCCAACGGGGGGCAAGAGTCATTGCTGGAAATTCCCCATCCTAGGACAAAAGAAAGGACAATAATGCCATCTCTCCCAATCACATAGATTCAAACAAGGATGTTCTCCAGAGGGGATGGGGGATGGGACAGGGCTATTTTTATTTGATGCGGGGGGATGGGAAGGGAGGAGTAATCTATTTTACTTTATTTTTGGTACTTCAGGACCTAGGGTCTCCAGCGCACCGGATTTCAGGTGCTAAAATCTCCTTCCTTTGCAGTGATGTGGCAGGTAGGGTGAGGAAGAGCAGGATGGGACACAGCTCCCAAATAGCAGCAGTGGTTGAGATGAAAATCCAGTAGAGGAGTTAAAAAAACATATATATATATAGTGAAATGCCAAAAAAAAAAAA